AGTTTTGTTAAAAGAAGATGGCTCGAGATAGACGTAAAAGCTGAGGAGTAGTCAAGAAAAACACCTACGTATACACGACAGACCTTATTTAAGTCTCTTAGAGCAGAATGGACTACCAGAGCAGCCGTGTCTATTGAACTACGCCTAGCTTCATATGCAAATTACAGGAGATCGGAAAAATCGGAGGAAAACGGCGTAATTATGTCAATGGCAACTTGTTCTGCAAGTTTCAGTTGTGCAGAAGAGCAGGCAATTGGACGAAAGGATTTGGGACCAGAAGTGGAGTTTTTTGGGACGGGAGTGACAAACATAAATTAACTCTGAAGAAAACAAATGCGCGATCATCGGGACAGCAATTATATTAGTCGGAGCTTTCGGCCATCTTAGCCAAAAGCTGGACTGTCATACTCCCGGTGGCAATCACGCTTGCCTGTCAGTCGATACCGGGAAGAGTTTGGTCGGCGGGAAATTAAATTCAACCTGAACTTTTGTGTGAGCAGCTGTCTTCTAGCTCTAAAAAGGGCCAGTATTTGGTCTTACCAAATGACCTTGACCATAAGATCTGTCTGATATCCAGTAAAGTTTGGTACCTGTAGTGTACCGAGTTTCGGAGATTGTTTAGAGAGGAACCGAGTAAAGTTAGAGGATAGTCGTGCCCATAATGGTGATAATCCACATCTGTCAGTGTCTTTTCCGAGCTTAAGCGAGTCAAAATAGTCTACAAGTAACCACCAAACCCTTTCTTGTTTGGCACGAAGCTTAACTGATGACTCTTGAACACTTAGATGGGAGATTTGGTTACCTTTCTCCCCGTTTTACGACATCAGAACTCCTTGCATCACCCACTGAATCTATCCGGAAAAACTCGAACTACGAAAGTTAGAAGCGTTTTGTGTTTACTCAAATCGTCCACTGCGCAAAGTGTAAACATAGGCAGTACACGGTAAGTTTATATAACAGTCTTCCCGTTTAAACACCTGCACCTTCCAATTGAATAGTCGCAGATTGTTGAACAGCATCAGAATCGTTCGATTGCCCACGAGGAAGTTAGACTTATGTTCAGTCGCTGGCCGCAGCCCTATGTCACATCAGGGCTTGAGAGGAAGGTATTTCTTTTTTGTCTTCATGTAATGCCGAGAGTTTCACTTTGCGATCTTCTGTGTACTTTCGCCTTACTTACCTCCGTTCCACCCCTTGGTGTCTAGACCGCCTCTTACGCGGACCATGCAGTACGCCACAACGGGTCATCACAGTCCAGCCAGATGGTTCCGGACTCCATGCTGGTGAACGTCAGCCAAACTGAAGGGCGTGATATGACCGTGACCTTGAAGACGACTTTGAGCCCCGAGCAGAAACAAAGAACACATGACCTGGAGGGTGTGCTGTCGTCTGCAATGCAAGCGGCTAAGTTGGACGAGAGCCCGTAAGTCTCGTGCAAGCTGTCTTCTAATCTCATTGCTGATGCCTGTGTGAACAGCGTTGATGTCCCCCTCAGAAAATGCACGCCTTGGATTGTTTACCATAGTAAAGTACGCCCCGAGACAAGGCTCCAAAAGGGGAAAAATGATTAAAAGGTAACAGTTTCAAAAGTGGTAGACAAATGAGGTTTCCGGCTTTTCTGGATTTCCTTAGCAGGCAGTAAGGTTTACGGGATAATTCCGAGGTCAGGGAACGGGTATTGTTAGACCGTGTTTGTATTTCGTCGCCGCAACGTTATGTGGTCCAATGCGATTAGACATACATGGGGCCAGCCTGGGTGCCAAGACAAGTAGGAATATTACTCTCCGGGCCTGATTATGACTTCTCTGAGATAGATCAGTACTTTGTGAGTTCAGTTCAAGGGAGTTAGAAGGAGGCTATAAGGTTACACAACGATGCGGTAATTGAATGAATCGTTGAATGACTCGCCGTGCAGACTGAGTAGACTAACGCCAAAGTGCCTAATTTGCGAAGACACACAGGTTTCTCAGTAGAAATCTACCTGATAGATATAAGCAGGCGACCTGTTTCACCCAATTTCGGCAATAATCTTTAGAAATGTGGTTACCCGTTGTCTAACCCGGCTGCTCATTTATGTCGGTAGCTATAAGTATGGGGGACCCAACTATGGTGCTCGGTCTGTTTTTTTAAAACAATTAATTATAGGTTAATAGTGCCAGGAGACATGCTCTGTGGTACACTGTTCATTCGGAATTAGGGCTAACCTGCTTGAACCACATGTTGGGGAGCTTAATCAT